CGCCGCTATAAGCGCCACCTACATCGGCTACATATAGCGGCGAGATGCAGTACTCCAGTCAGAAGCTCTGAAGAAGGTGTCTGATAGACACCGAAACGTCAGCGAGGTGAGACTCTTTGGTTGTGTAAAAAAGAATTCCCCTATATCTTAAGTTTTACCAACCTGATGAAACTATTTTCGGAAGTACTACAGTATTGTTACACTTACAACCTCAAATCTTAACATACCCCAAAACTATACCCCAATTTTCTAGCTGTGTCAGCAACTAGAAGGTTATTAGGTCATACCAAATGTGGGGGACCAGGTGGGGTCAGCTTCTCTCAACACCAGGGGTTTTGTAGGGTTAAAGACCACCCCCACGACACACTAATGAATTGTTCTGTTTGGAGCATGTCTGTCTCTGTTAATCTAAGCAGACAATTTGACCATTCTTTGAAAGACGCAGCTGTTAAGAGATATCTAAAAACAACACAAAAGCACTTCAACCTTCAACCTGCCAGAGTAACTTTGGTACCAAATTTGTGTTGGTGACAGACTCACAGAATAATCAGCAGACGAGTTTATTTAGACATTTTATTGAGACATTTTGGATTGTGAAACATCATGACTGATAAAAATATCTTGAAGTTTGAGTGCAGAATGCAACAATCGGTTAGATTAGGCCACACCAATTTAATTTCTTGGTTAACGGATTTTTCCAGAAAAATAATGGAGCGGGCGGGCGAAAAAAAAAATAATAATAAAAACAGGCCTAGGCATCCTATTATGGCCCAAAATGGTACGATAGGAGCCATGAAGTCAACACACCAGGCTGGTCCAAAATTTAAACACTGAATTTTGAACTTTTAATGATACCATTGCATTGAAAGATGGAATAACTGTACCAACTAGGAAGAAAAGGACTGTTTTCAACTGTTCAGGGCACAATATGAGCATTTTGCAGTTGATTCTGGATTTTTATTTTTATTTGCAAATCAGAAAAAAATGAAGCGGCGAATCCGTTAACCAAGAAATTAAATTGGTGTGGCCTTATGCTACTTTTTTTTTAATTTTTAGAAAATTCCTTGGCATGGTCAGCATGGGGTGTATAGTTTCAGTTAATGAAAGAAAGCAATCCACTGGTGATCAGAGTTTCTATCTTGACACTTCACTTACTTCACTATCCAGGATTTGATTTTTCTGCTGCTGTTGTCCCTGCCACAGGGGTGGGCAGCAGTCGGCTAGTAGTACTGGTCTTTACACTGCACCTCCAGGCAGCCCTATCCAGAGGGTTTACGCTGGCAAGGCAGCGCTCTCTAATGTCTTTCTTTTATATATAATATTGTACATAAATTATATATTATAAGGGTTAAATTGTGTATCATTCATACATGCCTGCCATGCTGTTTTCCCCCCAGAATGAGACAGACAAAGATGATGTCCCCCCTCCCCCACCCCCTCCCATTGTTGCCCAACTGCCGCGGATAAAAGCCCTCGTCAACTACGACGTCGCCAACACCAGCGAATCATCCGACCTCAGCGAAGAGGATGCCCAAACAGAGGTCAAGGTTCAAGGTTCAAAAGAACAGGAAGGCAAAGGGAAGAGCACAAAATTTTCTCCACTGTTAGAAAACGGCGAAAAGCACGCGAAAGAAATTGACTCAGGAACTACAGATGAAGCTCGCGTGGATAGAACTGCGAAGGGACCAGTAAGCGCAGAAAAGAATGCCAAGTTCGAGCCAGTACTGATATTCAAGGACAGAAACACAATACAGATCTCCAGGCCCAAAACGGAAACGAAAGAATCCGCATCTGCATTCACAAAGCAGATTGACGATTCCACACTTGATAGGAGTGACAAAGGGGTTTCTAAGGAAGAGGACACTAATGAGGGTGCAGGGAAATGGAGGCCAGTTGGCTGGTCGGCATCACAAGCAAATAAAACATCGAAAGTCGATGTCAAACCTGCTGTACAAACCAACAGATTTCTTCCACTGAAGAAGACATCTGTAGACTTCATCCCCATGAAGAAAACACCCATAGAAGACACGTACGGTCTGGATATTTTCGAGCAGAGCCAGAAGCGTAAGGTAGGGAGAGGCAACAAGTCCGGAGCCATCTCCTTCCAGTTGAGAAAGCCAGGCCTGGGGCAGAAACCGAGTATCAAGTTCTTTGTGCCGAGGCAGCTGAAGGTTCGCAGTAGTTCAGAGAGTAGTCTGACGGCAGCGGTGTCTGCTGAAGGCCCCTCACCTCCACCGGACGAGACGTTACCACCCCTACCTAAGGAAGACGTGGTCAAGCCTCCTCTGCCTAAAATGGAACGTGAAGCAAGCTCCAAAGCTCCACTGCCAGCTGTAGAACGTGAAGTAAAAGAAGACAAGCCACCGATGTCAGTTAGTGTTACCACAGGTCCAGTTAGTTTAGAAGCTCAGACACCCACCCCAGAGAGCCGGCCCCCTGCACAAGTCGATACAGTTGTCGAGAGAAGAGATAGCAAAGAAAAATCAAGATGGACTTGTGAGGGAAAAGTTGCCTCTGAGGAAAGAACGCAGCCAAACGCACTAGTGGTCGAAAGGGGAGATAGCAAGGAAACGTCAAGATGGACTTGTGAGAATAGGGAAGCCTCTGAAGAAAGAGTGCAGCCAAACGTACACGTAGGGTTACCTCATGTGCCAATGAAATTGGAAGCCTTGCCTGCTAGTGACATACCCAGAACATTGCCAGTTAGCTCTATACCACTGCCATGTGTGGACCCTGCAGTTGATTCTCGCTCAGTTTTAGCAAAAGAGGAGACAGAAAAACACAGAAACTCAGACCAATCAGACATGGAGCTTGGTTCAGACCAATCCGACGAGGATCGGGCCAAATCGGCTGAAAGTTCGAGTTCCGAGGACGATTCCGATTCTGACACCGACACCAGAAGGAGATTGCGCTCTGTCGTAACCGTGGTGGTCGCCAAGCAACAGACCTCGAGTCCGCCAAGCTCGAAAGAAAAGAAGCACGACAGTCCGTCGAGCGCGAAAGAACCTAAAGAAAAGAAACGGGACAGAGAGAGGAGGTCAGGTAGTAGGAAAGGCAGCTCCTCGAAAGACGATGCTAAATCGGACAGTCGCGAACGCTCCAGGACTAGAAGTCAGAGCGAAAGTTGCAGTACTAGAACCAGCCCTTATCGCGAACATTCACGACACAGAGATAAATCTAAGGCTAAGTTGGACTCGTCTGAGATCAAAAAGGAACCTGAAACTTCAAGAAGACGAGAGAGCACATCCGAGAAACGTAGGTCCTTCTCAGAAAGCAAACCCCTTGGGACAACTAAACAAGAAGAATCAGGAACAGCTAAAAAAGAAGAATCAAGCAATGTAAATATTCCTCCTGTCAAACACGAACCTGTAGACTCAATGGATACCAAGGTGAGCGAAAGTTCAAGCTTTGCAGTAGATAAATCCAAAGTGATCAGTTCAAAACTTTGCCTTGTTTCTCCAAAGGAAGAACAAAACATTAAGGAGGAGACCAACATAAGGCCGTCACCAACCGAGGCTGTGTTTGGGGAAACACTTGTGTCCTCTTCTTTGCGACAAGAGCCTATAGAAATCCCCCTTACACGCCTCCCAGAGCAACCAACACTCACAACAAACAGAAAGGAACTGAAAGAAGAAAACTTTGCCGGCAAACTGACTTCTCAGCCAGCCATTGAAATCTTTTCTACAAAGCACAGTGAAGCAAGATTCGGTCCACACGTGAAGACAGAAGATGACCGTGTTCCTGAGACTAAACACACAGTGTTGGAAAACCCCATGTTGGACTCTGAAGAGCGCAATACACAGCATAAAGGTGAGAAGGACAAAGTAGTGTTACCTGTTCTGGTCAACTATAGTTCACAGGAGGAAGATGACAGTAGCCGTGCTACAAGTCCAACAGTGGAAGAAGGTATCTCTGAAGAAAAAGATGACAGTAAGACAGTTTCTTCTTCTCTAGAAGAAGAAGCAACAGTGGTTCAAGACAAGTTAAAAGGTTCCTTAGCATCTGATGTTGAGATTAATACAGTGTTCCACAAGGAAGACACAATAACTGATACTATGGCTTCACAATTCAGTGAGGTAGCACCAGAATGCCAGCCTGCACTGGAAAAAGAAGGTGTGTGGCCATTGGCTGAAGTAAAATCATGTGATACCAATAGGAACGAACCATTACCAGCCAGAGGGGGTGTGGTGGAAGGACCAGAGGAAATGGCTATACCCGTAGTGTCAGGGACTGGTCGGAGGTACAAGAAAGGAACTCGCTGGGACTCAGACACCAGGGAAAAGGTACCGGTCGAGGTAAGCGAACAATACGGAATGGACATGTCAGAAAGCCATCTCGACAAAAGAACAACGCAAGAGCAACGCGTCTTGCAAACTGTTACCGGAGACGAAAACGAAAACGATGGTGGAAGCACCCCTCTACGAGACGAGTACGAAGATTTTGACTCTCCCTCTGAGCCTATCGCTCCAGGAGTTTCAACCAATGAGGAGAGGGGACGATTTTTGAACACAGTCCACGGGAGGAGCGACGAAAGAGTTTCCATCATGGCGGCCACGTCCACCTCCTCCCACCCCCATCACGACGATGGTTCGTCCTACCGCTCTCACGCGATTGGTTTGGAGCCATCGCGACCTGGGGTCATGCCCGCCGCCATGTCCAACCCGTGGGACGAATACGAAGACTGCGGGTTGTACGCTGACTTCTCGGGGCCCAGCATGCTTCCCCGCGCCAGTTTATCCGACAGCGCACCTCCCTGCGATTCCTCAGCTTCTAAGGACCTCCTGTATGACTCGAACTACGTGGAAAGCACACAGAGAACAGAAGCAGATGCTTGGAAAGAGGATGAAGTCAGTAACCTTGATGCACAGAACAGCGCCAATTCACAAGATGTCACACAGTTCTCGGAGCAAAGCAGTCAAGAAGACTTGGAGTTGACTCCTATAAGGAGAAGTGCGCGTCTTCGCTCCCAAGACTCAGACGTAAACAGTTCACCGTCTTTAAGTAAAGACAGCGCGGAGAGGCCACAGAGAAGGGTCAGTATCGAACTTCCTCAAGAATCTTCTTCAAAGACTACAGAAGATGTCTTGAGTGAGGTACCAGCCGAGAAAGACGTTCCAGAGAAAGAGAAGAAGCCAGAAGAAAACCTTCGGCCACCGTTCTTTGAAGAGATTACAGAGAATCTTTACCTCAGTGAAAGGTGAGTTAGAAAACAGGAGATCTCAATTTGTATAATGTGAATTTTAAAAAAAGGCACAGACGCAAGCTATTTTAAGGAAAAGGAATGTAAAATATTTTGATTTGTGTATTTCAACTTATCCTTGATTACCATGAAGGGGAAGACAAAGCATACACAACATACAAAATGGTCTGAATAGTTTTTTGGACAATAATGACATGAACTTATGCCATTACTTATGAAAAACCAAGAGGACTTATGATATAGCTACATAACATAATCTTTTCAATATACAGTAAAACACTTTATTCCTGAAAGCTATACGGTATATAGCACATTTTTTAACTGTAAACAGAGTTTAAATTTTGTTATTTTCTAAAATTTTGTCCCACAGGAAGAAGTCTAAGATGAGAAAAGACATCCGGCGCATGCTGTGTGAGTGTGTAACATCGGAGGAAGAACGGGATGCTGGGATAGCTGCATGTGGGGAGGACTGTCTGAACAGACTGCTCATGATAGAATGGTCAGTTCTCCTGACATACTGTTTACCTGTTTAGTTGTACTTATTATTATTGTTTTAGTTTTCTTTAGCCAGAGTAGCCCACCCAGTAATTAAACACTGCTTTGCAGTGGGGCCCTGGACACAGAACACATTGAAAACATACAACTAATACTAGACAATACTTGACAATACAAGACAAGACAATATCCGATCATTTGAGGTTTCATAGGTTTAGTAAACTAGTCTTGTCTTGCATGCTGTTGCTTGATCTGCAAAGAACTGTTAACTCCCTCTATACGTAACACACAGTACCTGAGTAAGTACAAGCTGCATAAGGCCAGACTGTAAGGTTTGAATCATGCACACCGGGATGGACCCTTAGCCTCAAAAACTGTGATGCGGTGTTGCTCATCTCAAACAATAGACCTCAAGCTTAATGCCCCTCTATAGAAGTTAGAAGAGCAATTATAACTGCTGTACCTTACTCACACTTGTGTATATGTCTTCTCTATATAGCTGCTCCCCTCACTGAGACATTGGAGTTGAGAACAGATTGGACGATGTTATTTGAGAAGTTGTACAGATGAGATAGGAATGAATAGCATTGTTTGCACCATGTCTTATGAAATTGTCTTCCTTACTAAGACCTGTATACATGTCTTCTCTATACAGCAACTGCTCTTCCTTACTGAAACATGTACATGTGGTTTGTTTCAGTGGTCCCCGGTGTCTGTGTGGAGAATACTGCACCAACAAACGCTTCCAGAGGAAGGAGTGTTCCAGGGTCGAACCATTCAACTGTGGGGACAAGGGGTGGGGACTCAGGGCAGCTGAGGACATGATATCGTACGTTTGTAATCAAGATTCTAAATAAAGAAGAGATCTTTAGCTTTATTCTGGTATGTTATTAACATGAAAGATCATCTGTGTTGCACATGACAGCTTTAAAAAAAAAAGAACTTTTCAACATTTTCCAAGAGTCCATTCTCTAGATCTCTTAAGTAGTGTTTGAAGTTGGTGATGTTTTTTCCTGTCACCCATTTTAGTTTTAGAAAGCATAACTCTCAAGAGCTATGTAGACTCATTTTTAATGCTTGACCTTATGATACTGGTGTTAACTATTTTTGTACCCTAGTAGAATTCTTGACAATTGTTTATATTATGATTATATGTTTATATTATGATACAGATTTTGGTCCCCACAGAAGTTATATTGTGTTGTAGGTATTGTGTTGTGTTTTAAGTCTTGTATTGTCCATTTGTTCCTATAGGAACCAGTTTGTGATGGAGTATGTGGGAGAAGTGCTGAACTTCAGCGAGTTCAAACAGAGAACTAAAGAGTACAACAGGCAGAAACAACATCACTTCTACTTCATGGCACTCAAGAACGACGAGGTAAACATTACTGGAAATCCCAGTGGTCTTATTTTTGTGTTTTTTGCAGTGACCATGAATTTGTGACACCTCAAATGTGTATTTCTAATGCATGTCTACTGTACCAGAAAATTAATTCATCCACAAACTTACTTTAGAATGCCACAAAAACCTCCTCTCCACTTCTACTAAGAAGTTGAAGTCTCTGCAAAAATAACCGTTTGTGCTGTAGTTTGATACTGAATTTGTAGTCTTTACTGTATCTAAAATGTGATTTTTTTTCTTCAATTTTTCAGATTATCGATGCGACTAAGAAAGGCAACGTGTCCAGGTTCATCAACCACAGCTGTGATCCTAACTGTGAGACACAAAAGGTATGGTGGACTAGATTTCAATTCAAGTACTAAACATCTCATACTGAAGGAGAAGAAGAAGGTCTCCCGTGCTCTTGCCCGAGTGTAGGGTGGTGTCCATCTCCATTTCGTAGAACTTGGGCGACACACAATTGTGCAATGCACTACAGCAGGGGGCTGGTCCGCTGGTAGTGCTGTGTGTTTGACCTTCCCACACTCTTTCTCATATGTGCTGAGTGCTAAGCAGAGAAAGAAGTGTGTACCATTTTTAAAGTCTTTGGTATGACCCGGCCGGGGTTTGAACTCACGACCTCCCGGTTACAAAGTGAGCACTCTACCAGTTGAGCTATTGCACCAGTAATCTCATACGGAACAGGCTCAAATACCCTCCTGCAACTTGAATTAGCAAAGGAAGTTTCGAGGTTGCTAGCAGAAACATGAAGAAGGGTTAAAAGAACCTTTTTTTTAGATCACAGTCAAGCTCATAGACAGTGTACTAAAACTTGTATTGTTTTGTCAAATATTATGGAAAATTCCCAGATCTTTGCTAACAGTGTGTAAAATCTGTATGTGTGTTTTCCGCAGTGGACCGTGAATGGAGTTTTGTGTAATACCTGTTTTTGTGTTTTCCACGGTAGACTGTGAATGGGGTCTTGTGTGATACCTGTTTTTGTGTTTTCCACAGTGGGCTCAGGACTGTGAATGGAGTTTTGTGTAATACCTGTTTTGTTTTTCTACAGTGGACTGTGAATGGGGTTTTGCGGGTAGGTTTTTTCACCAGAAGACCCATATGTGAGGGGGAGGAGCTTACCTTTGACTACAAATTCCAGAGATATGGGTAAGAATCCAAGATGATGATTTCCAATTTTCAGTCGATCTTGTGACCTTTCAAATTTTTTTTTGTTTAAACAAAAGGTGCCTTGAACAATTTCATAAAGATGGCATGGCAGTATTATATAAACAAAAAAAAGAAGCTTTGCTTCTTTAATATCACTGTAGGTACAGCTTATTCATAAATTTTGTCTTAATGCCATTTGTTCCAATTTTAAAAGATGTAAATATTTTGAAGAATTGTCAGCATGGTAGTGTATATTCTAGGTAAGGCAACCTTCTTCATTGTAGTAGTAAGTTCCAGATACTAGTATCAGCATAATTCAGACTCAGCTAAGTAGTATTTTGATGAAACATTTCAGTGGTAATTTCCTAGTTTGGCATATCTTAATGTTGTCTGCTTGTGTGTGTTTACAGTAAGGAGGCCCAGAAGTGCTACTGTGGAGCTGCCAACTGTCGGGGTTACCTGGGGGGGAACAAAACCACTCCTGTCAGACAGAGGGCCAAGAAAAAAGTGGAGGACAACTTGGTAAGAATCACTAACGTCTTCAGCAATACTTATACCAGTAAAGACATGTCCATGCTGTATTTCTCAGCTCATATTGGTACAATGTAGGATAAAATACTGTGGAGTATTGTTACATGTTGGATTAGAATAGAAGTTTAACTTTCTTACTCAGTTGTTCAATTGTTCTTCAAGTCACACAATGAAAACATATCATTTGTTTTTGCTCTGTTCCTTCTTTGTCTCCAAACAAAAAGATCAATGACCTAGACCAGACCTCTGTCACCAAGGTAACCGGTACTGTAGCAGGCACCTTGTGGTGTAGGGTTACGTTATGTAGCAGGGCAGTTGGAGAGGCTGCTCACAATATACTTAGTATATGAATATGTTTGTGTAAGAATAAACAGAGTAGTTGTGAAAGTAAACATTATACAGTCAGCTACTGATTATTTCACAGCATCTATACCTTCAGATGTTCCTTCATTCATTCATTTATCCATCCATTCATTCATTCACTCCTCCTTTTTCTGTCCCAGTTGGATGAAGAGATAGACCAGATGGCAGAAACCTGTGAGGAGGGACTGACTGAGACCGAACAGGTGCTCTACCTCTCCAGACTAATGGTACGGTCCGAGACCGTTCAGCAGAGGTTCACACTTCTCAACATTCTCCTGGTAAGACTCAACTTTTCTTTCTGGTTTTCATATACAGATCCTTATCAGTATGGAATACCTTGCCACATGAGGTACAAACAGCAGCTAAGAGTAAGTTTAGGCAGCATTGGAGTTGATAGGCACATGTGATGTTTCTCTTGCTTCTAAAATCTGTTGTTTGATCTTTCCATAATTTTGCAAGTCTCTATGGTTGATCATCTTGTTCCTAAAGGCCACTAAAGACCCAGTCAAAATGGTAAACAGGCTCAGATTCCAGGGAAAATATAGAGAAAAGATGTTTGGCATAAAGACAAAGCATTCAACCAAGAGGTCCCGGGTTTGAATCCTGACATGTCACCGATCTTGTGCCCTTGGGAAACACAACTTTCTTCACCTTACTCAGGTGAAAATGAGTATGCCAGAATAATAATCATCATGATTGTGGGCATTAAAGGAAGAAGATAATAGTATGCTTCAGGAATGATCAGTGTTGTTTTTTGTCA